CATGTTATACAGGCTGAAGGGACTCAATGCCACATGGAACACGGAACGCCTTTTTTTTTTATTAAAAACGAAGGGACCGTAACGATGATATTCAGGAGGAATCTTGACACCCTGAGCACTTTGAGAGAAAATAAAATACCGAAGGTGGACACAAGCTCTCAATTCAAAAGAAATACATTAAATTCGAATATTGTACGTTTCACAATAAGTAAACGCAAACAGAAACCTATTTTTCCCGTATTTTCGAAAGGAGGCTCCCTTCCTATTGCTTTCGCATATAATCCAGCGTCCTTACAGTATTTGAAAGCGTCAAATTTTGCACTTTTGGACTGCGTACTCACTTGTAAACATCAGTTAATCAAGCAAAACTTACACGATGAAACGCCACTTTAACAAACTACTAACTTAGAAAATTGGCAGCTGACCTGATAAATTGTTACAAGTGAGTAGCTTAACGACATTTGAGCTTTACTACGATTTAAATTTATACTCTACGTACAATTCGTAGTTTCTAGTACTTTCTCATAACAAAGCACGTAGCTCGATTTTAAATATAAGTATGTATATAAGTAGGTACTTTGTTGCTAAAGCGTAAGTAAAATGATTTATTTCCCAATTAATTGGTTACAAAACACAGTATTAATTATGAAAATTGCACTCTCTTACCAAACAAATAGAGAAGGTCCATGCCGTCCATAGTATCAATGGTATCAATATAAAGCGCTTTTTAGGGGCTTTCGAATGTTAGTAGTGGGTTTGCAATTTGAGAGTCAGCCAACACCGTTTTTAGTGTTTTCGCGCCCCTACTAGGAAAATTTGGGTCACTGAAGCTTTACCTAAAATGCCCCAGTCTCTCTGTATATTCATCATACATCGCATTATTAATACAATACATTGTCAGTACAGCAATATAGTCGGGTCTTGTTTTGCAAAAATCCAAATGAAAGAAGCATTTCATGTAACAATTGAGTTAAAATCGTCCCCCCCCCCCCCATAATTCGATCTCTCTGAATCCGAAAATGCCGTTTACCAACTAGAAATTCCAACTGGAAGTGAGTTATTCGAGATGGCGTCCAAAATAGCGCCAAATTTAAGTGTTTTTCTGCTTTCGGTCATATACAGGGTTTAGCACTGGTTTATGCACACTTCACACAATAAAAAATTACAAATAAGCACATGAATAGAGCAGAATTTTACAATCTACAAAAATTTATTTACAACTTTGCTATCAAATAATTAGGGGATACAATATTTCAATATAAAAAATTACCATTGAAATCCCTATTGTGCGTAAACCAATTCTACATCCAGTATATGCGATCCAGGGGTTTATTCGCTTTACATCTGCAGAGCTTTCGGCATGGAACCCAGGGTTCTTATAGAATAATGTGGCCTGTAGAATCCATAATTTCAAACAGTTCCAAGATTGGGCTACTAGTTCAAAAGTTACAGCCCTTTGAATTTTCTTTCGAAATTGGTTTCTAGTCTATAACTTTTGATTGAGAAGTCTGATCGAAAAAGTACGAATTGTTTTGGATTCTACGCACCAAAATTAATAAGAAAAAGTGTTTTCCCGAGAAATTTTGGTGCAGTTGATTTTTGGTAAAAAAGGAAGGTTATACACTGCCTTTTTTTGAGGCTCGAAGAAAAAATTGTCTCAGATCGACCCGGAAAAAAATTTTCTTATAGAATGTGGCCTGTAGAATCCATAATTTCAAACAGTTCCAAGATTGGGCTACTAGTTCAAAAGTTACAGCCCTTTGAATTTTCTTTCGAAATTGGTTTCTAGTCTATAACTTTTGATTGAGCAGTCTGATCGAAAAAGTACGAATTGTTTTGGATTCTACGCACCAAAATTAATAAGAAAAAGTGTTTTCCCGAGAAATTTTGGTGCAGTCGATTTTTGGTAAAAAAGGAAGGTTATACACTGCCTTTTTTTGAGGCCCGAAAAAAAAATTGTCTCAGATCGACCCGGAAAAAAATTTTCTTATAGAATGTGGCCTGTAGAATCCATAATTTCAAACAGTTCCAAGATTGGGCTACTAGTTCAAAAGTTACAGCCCTTTGAATTTTCTTTCGAAATTGGTTTCTAGTCTATAACTTTTGATTGAGAAGTCTGATCGAAAAAGTACGAATTGTTTTGGATTCTACGCACCAAAATTAATAAGAAAAAGTCTTTTCCCGAGAAATTTTGGTGCAGTCGATTTTTGGTAAAAAAGGAAGTGTATACACTGCCCTTTTTTTCGAGCCCGAAAAAAAATTGTCTCAGATCGACCCGGAAAAAAATTTTCTTATAGAATGTGGCCTGTAGAATCCATAATTTAAAACAGTTCCAAGATTGGGCTACTAGTTCAAAAGTTACAGCCCTTTGAATTTTCTTTCGAAATTGGTTTCTAGTCTATAACTTTTGATTGAGCAGTCTGATCGAAAAAGTACGAATTGTTTTGGATTCTACGCACCAAAATTAATAAGAAAAAGACACGTGATTGCAAGGACTTCGCTCGACAGTGCTTTAGTTTAATACAGTCAGATTACATTGTTGCATCTTAGACCTAAGTATCTTTTTGTTTATTGTAGCGCATATCTTCTTTTTTTTTAAATTGCGTGTATACATTCCCATACCTTACGGAATTGTCTAATGTGTTGTTCTTTATAGTTTTGTTAATTAAGTATTTAAATAATATTGATTTGTTTTAGTGTTGGATGTGCCTTATAGTTAGATTATCACATTGTTAAGTTAATTTCAGTTTAGAAGCTTGTAGAGGGGGGAGTAATGGCCTTTCGGCTTTTCCTTTATGTCCCTATGCAGGAATAATACGATAGTATGAATGCTGAAAACCCGACAAAATGACGTCGACAATAAAAGTACAGATGTACCATAAAATAATTAATCACCTTACCTTTAATGAAGAAATATCCAGCATAGAAAGAGGGCTCTGTTCCGACGTTTCCAGCAATTCACTCTAAAACAAAGAAAAAACATAATTAATCAGAGTTGGTCCACTCGGTCCTCGAAGTGCCAATGGCTTGAAGAGACAAAATACATTCAAATACCTCCGATTATTAATAATAAGAGGGTTATTTGGAAAACAATGATATAATACGGCAATCGTTGATCAAATGATTGCATCAGATGCGGTTCAGTCAGTAATCAACCCAAAAGCACAATTATTGCTAACACTTCGATTAATTACCAAAGATTGATTATACTTGATAATTGTGCGATGAATCCGACATTGAATGCTTCAAAAATGGATACAACGACTGTAAAGTGTAAACCAAAGCACCGGTGCATAGTCTGAAGTTAGCGTAAAGCCCGGGATTAAGTACGCTACAGTGTCTACAGTACAAAAGGCCAGTGCGTTACAAATCCGAGATCGTTAACTACAATAGCAGTGGTCCTCAATCAAAAATTATAGCATACTCAACCAATAAGAGTTTATATTTACCTGAGACAATAAAGAAACTATTACACCCCGAAATCCAAATTCAAGTTTTCATTTCTCAACTTCTTTTAATACATGCACTACTATTTTCACGTCATTAACTTGCCGCATTAAATCAATTATAAAACTGGTGGAATCGAAACTTTTAGTAGCCACCCCATATAGATTAAATTAAGATGCCATAAACATTGTTTAAATACTAAAGTAAGCAAAGCGAGTTTTGTATGCAATAGATATAGCGACAGCTATAGTATAATATAATGGTAACCAAATCGTTCTTATTTTGTCAAACCAAAGATCTCCTAGTTGTCACATATCTATAGGAGTTTAAACGGTAGAAGGCTTTGCCGTAGATAGTCATCTGATACCTACAAACTAAAGCAGGCTTAGTAACAGAATAGGTACTTATTTTCCCGCAAAGCCTAAAGGTTGGTGTAATTAGTGACCATTTATTTAACTCCACTGGCATGCCATCATGCGTTCATTATAATTCTTAACTTAGTTACCCTTTACGACTTCAATGATTTGTTAAATAACAACAGCTCGTTTTGGAAAACAGCAATTGGATTTATTTCTAATAATTGAGTTTTCATTTGCCAAGTATATGGACAATGGAACCCATTAATTTGGAACTAATATACGTTGACGAGCTCAAAAAAGCTCAAGCTTGTATTCGTTTCCAATTTCTGAGCTTTTAGTTTTCATGCGTTTTTCAAAATTATATATACAGAATACATCAACGCATCTCGGATTTAAAAGTCTATGGTTGTTTAAAATACTACGGTACGGTTAATCCTCCTTCTAAATAATGACTTAGACATTTGTGGTGAAGAGGTTTGACTTCAATAGAGAAACAGATCTCACAGCCAGAATTCCAATCCATAAGCTTGGCCAATTTTTTATAATACTATACTCGACTGCAGAATGTCAAGTCGATTAGAAAGAAGTATATTTGGAAGTGGGTGAAAATCGATGTAAACCATACAGAGAAACAGAAGTTGAAATAAACAACCCACAGGTAAGCGGAGGATTAAAAAAAACGTCTTCAGAAAACCACTACGTATCAATCAATTAGTTCTTTTCGAGTGCAATTCAAGAGGATCCGCGGAATAGGATTTCTAAAAATAATATTTTGCTTTTTTACAATTGAATGTTAACGAGTGGTATTATAACGCCGGGATGTAATTAATTATGTATACAAGAAGTGGAACTATTTTCGTACCCCGCAATCTTGATCATACCTTTGAAGACACACTAGCGGAATATAAATTGCTTAGACTTGTCACAAAAATGTGTATTATACGCAGAGAAATCAATGAGGAGGGACCCTTCCAGGCGCGCGGAGGGATAAAACGGAAGTGACGTAATAACAAGGACGACATAACCGCACCGTCATACTGTGGGTAGCGGACGAAAGGGGGTGCCTAACGGTTGCGCTATAACGGTCGATGAAGAGTGACGTCACTGCGTCGATGACGTAAGAGAAATAGCGAAGGCGAGTTTTATAATAAGCGTGCAGTTGAGGCAGGATTTTATACTTGCTACGAGAGCGAGAGTGTCCAGTCGCGCGTTGCATCTTGTAATATATGGACCGTATACGTTCTTCGGCACAAACTTATTAAATGCGGTGAAGCAGTTCCTAAATTTCGCAAAGTAGTTACCGTAGTTTAGTGACAGTATTTTTTCGTAGTGAGGCTATTAATTGATATGTATGAGGATTTTGATTGATTTCGTCGTGGATTCTTCGTTTAAGGAACCGGAAGGCGCGCGCTCTCAGACCAGCACTCCTGAAACTGAAATTCAGGAGTCACCAGGTGACTTGTCTAATTGTGCCCCTGCTTCGTAGACCGATTCCTCTATATGTTAGATTGTGTTCAGTTCCTAAAGTATGTTTCAAGTTCCTGGATTGTTTTAAGTTGTACGTCTACACCACCCCCGTTGCTTTGTTGCATGCCACTTTTTGACACACGATTGTGCCGAAACGAAGATTTGAAGAAGCCTGTGTGTGAGTGTGTATGTGTGTTGTACAATGCCATCCCTGCGCCATGCGTACCGGTCCGTCGCCGTGCAGACACGGGCTGCAGTTTTATAGCACGCAACAGACCGATAACAACAACAATTCACCTAGTTACAACTGTCTCAGAAATAAGTGTACGTAAAACAATATTTTGCCAAAAATAACGCTTGTACTTTTACTAACTTGAGCTTTTAACGTTCAGCTTTAACTCTGCCGCGCGTGCAATTCGGAAATGCCGATTTTCAGTGAAAACGGAGACACTCCACGGAATCGAATTTGGCGCAGGTGCATTTAACCGTAATAATTAATAAATAACTTGCACTTGCTTTCAATTATAAATAATTGACACGAGCGCGAGCGCGCGCTTTTTACGACGCGCCTTTTTTCAAAAGCGATCCCTTTCCACGAGCGGCCTATGCCAAAATTTGAATCATCGTCACAAAGCGTTATTGGCACTATTTAAACGTCACATGCGGAATTATTTTAAGACGCTTATAAAGACTTAATAAATCGAAGAGCCTTGGATTCTTTCTACTTTATAAAACGGGTAATTGCACATAATCGCTATTTCAATTTATAATTTCTACCTGCACCAGGAAGAATGGCGCGATAGACGAGAAGAATGTTTCCGTGCCTCGTGTGAGAAATCCGAGTGATCACAGACGTTGTGCATGCTACCCCATCTCCTCTGCCTTGATTCTGATATCCCTTAGAATAAGAAGAAGTAATGATGAATGCAGAAAGAAACGTATGTTTCGTTCGGGAAGGCAGTCGAAGAAATTGTGCACTTGAAACAGAAGAGGAATAGAAATTAAGTGTCGTAGTCAAACTGGGGAGGTTTTACGACAAAGTAAAATTTCGAGTTCGCTCGAGTTATTGCATGTAAGAATGTGTGTACAGTGAGAAATTACCTACCCCTGACACGAGCAAACTTAAAGACTTCTTCCTTTATTATTCTAATGGTTTCAGACCATTGATGTTAGATTAAACTGTTCGAACTAAAAAATTCATGCAGCTCATGTACTGTATATGAAACTCGCAAAATAGCAATGGAAACGCAGTGATCTTAGAAAAATAAAAAAATAAATAACACAGTACGTACATACGTCGTTCGCACATGTACTTATATATCTAAAATTAATGTACAAAAAAAATTTGTGTTAAAATGATGACGATATATAAAAGCGCCTAGTCCTGCAGGGTAAAATAGTAAAAACTGGTTGGCGTTGTTTACCTATATTCATACCAGTAGGTAACGTAGACTACAGATGCTACTTTATAATACTTATAGCGTAACGGTGGTTTAAAATAATGTTATTAGTAATTTTTTGTGTATTATTTTTTTTTCTTTCTTTTTCTTTCTTTTATTATATATTGTTAAATAAACGGTAATTTGATTTTTTGTTTTCTTACAAACGTAAATTAAGTGAGTCGCGGGTTTGCGCTTATTGTACGGAAAGCTTCCGTTTACATATTCTCCCTAAAAGCTTAAGGCTACATTCAGACAGATGCGTTTCTATGTTACTTTGAGCGATGGTTTAAAATTCATATTGATCGTTTTTATCTGGTTAATGTGGATACCTCATACATTTTAATAGAGAACTTCCCGCCAGTATGTGCGGTCGAAGTTTCGTCAATGTGCTGTAAATAAATAAATAAATGAATGTCGAGGTAAATATGGACCTAGAAATTGCTAGCGATTAATTGCATCGCATCGCAACCTATTTGAAAATTGCAAGGAAATTTGTTAATCGCATCGCATCGGAAAGCATCTCAAAGCCGATCGCGCGATACCGTCCTGTCTGAACGTAGCCTTAAGTCTTAAATTTTTGTTCTTCGCCGATCGTGAATCTTTCACACAAAGCAATGTCACTATTTCTTCCATCTTGTCTGCATCTTTCCATAAAAATGTGACACTGAGTCTTCGAATCGATAAAGACAACACGAAATGACTATTTCCAAATAGAACAATCCGGTTATTAAGAGACGTGCTAGGCTTAAAATCTCAGCCGTGAAATGTATTTGAGAGCTCATTCAGTCCTCTAATCACGCAACATTTATTTCGATTTTCATCACTACCACAAAAGTATCAAAACGTAGACACTGCCATGGGTCATCAGTCAGTTTTAAAATCCATATTCGAAAAAATGAGCGGTTTTAGAAATTTCTACTCCGATTAAATGGTTTGCAGTCCACGCATTATAATATGAATCAGTTTAAGTTCCAGCGTCAATAAATTTTCGTTATGATCATAATCCGCGCCTACACGGTAACGTAAAATCGCACACAAAACTAATAAAAGTTCGCCCAAACGATAGAGAGTCGATGCCGCCACGGGGGCCGTCGGGTTTAGTTGTTGACACGGTGCAAGTAGTGCAGAAGTAGTTTTTCAGGCACTCAGGTTTGCTAATTTCGAAACGCGTATCAACTATCACCTTAAAAGCTTAAAGAAAGCAAAATCAGGAGCTACTTGTGAGCGGTAAGCGCCCCTTTTCACGAGGTGTTTTTAAAGCGCTAGAAAGCAGCGCCACTGGTCGCGAAATATTGTTTTATATACACCCCCCCCCCCCCCCGCACGGAACGGCTATGAAAAGCCAGTTGGTAACAATGCAAACGACTCTTGGGCTATTAACGGCAGTAGCAGATTTACCAGCAGGCTGAGTAGACTGGAGCTTAGGGCGGCAGATTTTAGCAGGCGGCCAATTTGTCCCAACAATTTTTGTCTTGCAGAAATAACAAATTTGCTGTGGCTAACACAGATACCACGCGCACAACTGCGCATGCGCGATTCTCCCCTTTTGTGTCTAAAAATATGTGTACCAAATTTGGTTCCAATTGGTTCAGCCGTTTAGCCGGAAATGAGAGAGATTTTATTTGATTCGGATTTCTGGTGCTTCAAAACGTGTATTTCCGTCAAAAAAGTGGGGGGTCATTTTTTACCCCAATGCAATACCTCCCTTACGTGCGAGTGGTAAAAAAACATCTTATACAGGGTGTGTTTTTTTTCATTTTCGCTATAGGGATCTCGTAAACCGTACCAGATACAAATCCGCTTAAATGAGCAAAGTTATGCAGAACTTTATGCCAATTAATTTTCCCTTTTAAAGTTTCTTGTCGCTCTACAAATAGCGAAGTTATAGCCAAAATACCAAAAATTTATTTTCCAGAAATAATTTTAACGAACCATTAGCGATTTTCTCTCAGTCCTATAAATAGAGAAAACTAGTCTCTGAAATTTAACAAAAATCGCATTATTTTGGTAGGTACTGTACAGTATACTGAAATTATAAACGCTCTGTAAAGTATACTTTTGTAATAATGAATTTGTAAAATATTCCAATAGCGTTCTAATATCACAATTTAATATTTAGTAATTTTGTGTAAGATGTGTTCATATTGGTGTAAGAATTTTTAAGGCATATTATACTCCACCTTATAAAAAATTAGTGCATGATTTTTTTAACTCGGAAGTTACCCAATAGTTATTTGTACGACTAGAGAAGAAAGTGGAGTTTTTCAACTCGAGTTCAAAGTTTTACGCTCATGTGTCAATTGTACAAGAGTTGAAAAACACTTTCTTCTCAAGTTTTACACATAATTTTATCTGAAACTACAATCACAATTGGAAAATTATCGTATGCAATAATGAAGTTTGACACATTTATTTTATTTATTTATTTATTTATTTTTTATCTATGAACATAACAGGTTGCCCCAATAACAATGTTCATGTATTAATTTAAAAAAAAACTATTCGAAATTATAAGGAATATAAAAAAAATATGTTAAAAGTATTTAAATAAAAAAAAGACAAAGGAAAACAAAAGAAAGAATAAAAAAGAATCATAGAACAAAGCAATCTAGATCGGGGTATGTTTCAATTTTAAATGTTATTATTAAGATTAACGTAGCAATTGTTTTTCTTGTGTTTTTTTACTTTCCCTCACTAGAGAGGAAAATTGCATTTTCTTCGCCCTTTTTAGAGACGAAATTAGTTGTTTCGGAAAAAAACTATTTCTAGTGTAATTTTCACTAAATCGTGGGTTGTAAAAATAATCTGGAAACAGACACAATGATCCTGGAGAAGGTGAATGACAGGAACTACAACACTGGTGTGGAATGTATGTAAATTTTGAATAGAATAGTACACTGAACTAGTCTGACGTTACCTTCAATTTAACCTAGTGGAGCAAATGCTTTGATTCGCGAGTCCCGCACGAAACTACAGGCGGTTAACTGAAATCATGATAAGACTAAAATTATATTTTATTAAATTAAACCGATAGACATCAAAACTAAGTTGTGGCCTTGTTAAAAAATTATAAGCTTTCAAATTGATACGGCCCCATGGTTATGCAGGGAGACACTTCAGAAGCCACTCTTTCATGCCATAAGTACGATTACCCCCAAGTGAGCTCCAGCCAATTCAAATTGTGACTTAGGGGCGTTCAAAATCAGGTCACGTTAAGCTCCAAAATCCACCGAATTTGGAAGAAAAGTGCGATTGCCGGTCCCCGTGTCAGTTACGTCTACTGAAAAAAAATTCACTTAACGCAATCGATAATTACGTAAATTCTGGTTGTGATTTTTTTTCAACGGTCGCACGGTAATCTAAATGCTTGTGTCTGTATAAATGAAAGAGATTGACTGCTGTAAAGTAACGATAATTACAAATCAAGTTCGTTGATTTCGCGTTATAATGTCACGTTTTTAATAGGATTAACACATTTGCTGTAAGTAAATTAGAGGCAGCGTTAAAGTCGTTCCTTTTTTTGCACTCAGCCCTGTCTTTTGATGCGCTATTGAATTGATTTGTGAATCATTCCATTATTTTAGATCGCAATTAGTAGCTCAACGTCAAGTTCTGAGCTTTCATCGACATTTGTCTCTTTTTAAGACTAGCTAACGTATGGTTATATGTGACAAAGCGCCATTAGTTTCTTATTTTAATTTAATTGTTTAGGATAAGTACTCGTTTCAAAATTCGATTCCACGGAATAAGGCAGTTTCATTTTGTACGTTTATAAATTTTTTCTTAATACAGAAAGTAGGGGATGTTCGTTTAATAAAAAGCTCTCTAGCGTCATGATCTAAATCTAAAAGCTTCGCATTTAAATCTCCGCCACATTGAAAT